GGTAGCATCTGCTAAGCCATTCCCTGTCATGAGCACTCAGTCTTCATTACCCCAGCGTGGTGATTTGCAAGAACATAAAATGAGCTAATTTTGGAAATTTGTCAGTGCAAAATCTCAAATAATAAAATATCCAGATTTATACAAGAGCTGCTGTAAAAATGACAGCACAATTTATCTGGGCAACTGGGTGGGGTGGATACTGCAAAGAGTGTCAGTTGGCAATTTGCTTTAATGTGTGGAGAAATTTTCTTGCGTTTATTCTTTCAGATACAGGGGAGCAGATAAACTTTCAATGCAGAAATCAGAGAGATAAACGATCTATTAAAGGCTTAATTTCAATGATTAACTTCTATAGATCGTGGTCTGGGTCATGATATTTGCACATGACCTTTGGTTAGGAAAATTCCTTATCAAATTGAAGATGGAATTCTCTAAGAGGTGAAATGAAAGTGTGAGGCAAGTGGTGGAAGGTTCCATTGAACTAACGGTTACTGGAACACAGTTCTGGACATTGCCTTCGGTAATAACTGACTAGCTTTTTCTGAGTCCAGCACTGCCACGTTGGCCTCATTTCACTTGATCTGATGTGTCAATGGGAGCATTGTAGGAGGCCCTGACAGTCCTTGGTTGACTGGGAAAGGTAAGCGTGTCTGCTGTAACTTGTGCCTGGGTTTTGTAACTCTTGTTTCATTCACTTTTATTGAATCTCCTCAAGGGCATTGGTTTCCTGATCCAGAGGAAGGGCTGGTAACCGAGTTTGTGACCCTGATTTATCGTAGTTGACTGACTTGTACTTGATTTGTGTTGAGTCAATCACTTCTGTCTCTTAGGAGTTGGGGGAACCATCATGTGGCAGAAGTGGACTTGGAATCACTGGAAGAGGGAAGGGAGAATACGGTATGTATCCACTGGGTTTCTTCACGTTTTGTTTGCCAGATCTGTTCCTTTCAGAGGACTGACTGCATTCTGTGTCATCAACATGGATTAGAGTGAATCTGACCAGAGGGAAACACAGCCTGCTAAGGCCATTGCATTTCTGGGTCCTTTCAAACCACCTCACTTCCTTATGACCACAGGGTTGGTAGGTCTTACCACAGCTCACACAGCTCCTTCCACCTCTTCATTCCAGCCCTCAGATCGTGATCCCAATTCCTGAGGAAATCCATTCCTCACACCTCATTTAGGTCAACACAGGTGACATGCCATCAGATTTGGGGGCTGGCACCTGAGATGGTGTTTTCTTCCTGGACTGACGTGTTATCACCTTGATCTTCTCTGCCAAAGTCAGGAGGGGTAAAGGGTGATCAGGCTTTTCCCTGACGACTCTCCAAAACCAGTCCACTTCCAGATAATGTCCCTTTCCTACTGACTGAGCATTATGACTAATAGTTACAGCAACCTCAATAGCTGTTATTTCTGCTTAATAGATGGGGATATTAAAACTCAGAGAAGATTATGTAATGAAATGGGTCCAACAAGTTGTGCCAAATAGATGTGGGATTCTGCAATAGGCAGGTAACCATCTGCTCCCCAGACATGATCCTTAGGAGGGCTATGGCAGGGTACCTTGGAGGAGCACCCCTTCCCTGTTTTCATGCAGATCTGTCCTCAGGCTATAATTGACACTGAGTGGTCTCTCTCCCCTTCAAGTCTGTGCATGTGTATTTCATTTTGATTACACTGGACATATCTCTGTTCTGTAAGGAGGGCGAGGGATGCACACTTGGTGCTCAAAGCCTTCTGGCTGCCCAGCATCTTCTTGTCTGTCACACAGCTCCCTGGTCCATTAATTCCTGTTCTTAAGAGCCCTCTCATTACCCCCTCGTCCTTATGCATTATGGCCAAGGGAAGAAAATTACCAAATCAACTTTGTGGCTTTCTCTAAAACACATGCCTCAAAACCCTACATCTGAAATCGTGTGAGCTCAATAGAGGAAGCTTCTTTCGCAAGTGAGAATCTTTTTGAGCTGATTTCATTACCCTTTCTAAAATTTTACCTGGCCAGCCCTCCTTGCTGCCAGCCTGACACTTTTCAGTGCTCAGCTTAGACCTCAGCAGATGTCAAGAACAGCTGGTCAGCACTGTTCTTTGTAAGAATCATTCACATTTGGTCACCCCCCCCCATCTTCTTTGTTCCTGTCTGGACTTTTGAACTGGCCCACATGGTTCTGGTGTCTATGGATTTTCTCAGGGAGCCATTCTGGTCAAACCTTCCATATTTCTATGCATACCCGAGGGCAGAGCTGCCCATTGACAGGGACCCCTACGTTCTTCTCCTAACCTTTCCCATTGTAGAATTCTGAAACGGCTCCTTAACAAAGCCTAAGAGGGTATTCTGGGCTCATTCCAGTGTAGTTACAATAAAGGCCTTTTTACTAGGAATCTTATTTATGTTTTTATGGCTTATGAAGCTCTTCTTTAATTACTGCCTACACAGAGCTCAAGATCTGTCCTGAATGATGAAGGATCATTCTCATGATTACCTTAAATTTACTTCCTTTCCACCCAATACATTAACCTTTATTACTGTAAGTTACGGCTGCTAGAAGCCAGAGCTAAAGAATCAAGTTTGCTTCCATTTAAGATGCGGAGGTAGGCAAGTTACTGCTTTCTGAGCGTGGGATGAGGAATGGGCAGGTGTCATTTGGTGGATACATAAAAAAGGCATTATATTCCTTTTAGGAGGTGATTATCTAGGAGAGATTTGCCTTGTTCAGTTCGAAGTTTCTTTCTGAAGTGGAAAATTTAGGGGACGAAAAAGAGGAAAGATAGGAAGATGGATTTGCTGGCGGATGGACTAAGGAAGTGATGGAGAAGCAGAGGAGAGGAGGGCTCTGGACGTGGAGGGCAGCAGCAGAATGTGAAGCGTCTCCTCAAAGGAGAAATCGGACAACAGATGGCGCAAGTTAAATAAATGATGTTTGGCTACTGAAAAATGCATTTCTTCCTAGATTCTACCACACTTTCATGTCTCTCTATTAGGAAAAGTGTATTCACCCTGGGAGCTGGAGAGTGGACACACAGGGTGTCTGTCCCCTTGACCCAGCTAGAATGTACCATTGATTCCTGAAAAACAGCTTCAGTTTTGAGACTTGATGTCTTGCCATAGATTTAAAAAGAAAGTGACTACACTAGATGTATTCAATGGTGTGTCTTTTCTTTTTCAAATCAGCATTTCCTTCATTAGCTATGTTTGGGTTATCATTTAGTTCTATGAGGGACTTACTATGCCTATTTACTATGAAGATGTTCTCATCTTAGACATAATACATTAGTCATCGTTCATACTTAAGTGAATATTTCATGTGTTTGGTTTAAAAAAATATTTCTAGTTTCCTATTCTATTTATTCTTTAGTTCGTTTTTTTCTGCCCTTTTGGGTTTAACTGAGCAGTTTTTATGATCCTACTGAATCTCATCTTATTATCTACACATCTTTAATAATGTTTTAGTGATAGTTTTAGTGTCTACAATATACATTTGAATTAAATCTGAATTACATTAAGATAATAATATAGCTTTCCATGTACATTGTAAGGATACCCATCTCTGAAGCCATCTTTATCATATATTTACTTCTGTCTTTACAACAAACACAATATATTATTGCAATTTTTCTTGAAATAGTTATAACATTTTGGAGAAATTAAAATAAAAAGACATTTTACTCTCACTTATGCCATTTTCAATGCTTTTCATTTCTCTTGTAAATCTAAATTTTTGACCTGTTTTATTGTCCTTCTGTTTGAAAAGTTTCCTTTCATATTTCTTGTATAGTACCTTGGCAACAAATAAATTCCCTTCAATTTTTTTTTAATAAAATAGTATTTCTCATTCACTTTCGAAGGATTCTTTTTTTTTTTTTTTTTTCTGCTGATAGAATTCTGGGCTGATTTTTCTTTCCTTTCAGCACTTAGTGTTTTAAAGATGTCACTCCACTGGCTTCTTGCTTGTATAGGTTTCTAACCTGGTTTCTTTGTAAGTAATATCTTTTTTTTTTCCTCCAGATATTTTCAGGTTTCCTCTTTGACTTTCATCAGTTTGAATATTGCCGCAGTCTGGCTGGGCACAAAATAACTGAGCCCCCATGAGGCACTTGTAGGTTCAAACAGGAAATCCTTTATTGCCCGATCTCCACCAGCACTCAGCACTCCAGGAGCACTTCCCGGGATCTCTCTCACCCTCCACGGGCTCCTCTGCAGGGAACAATCCCGCAAGAACTCAATGGGAACTTCAAAGTAGCAGGACCTGAGGCAGCAGGAGCCGCCCTATTGTGGACTGCAGGGTCCATATACAACTCAATACACAGCCTGTTTCAATCCAGCGTCATCCAGTCACAGCAATTATAATTTAATTATCATCATCTTAATGGCTCCCAGGCGTCACCTCTTAACCACTCCTTCTGGCGCCATCCCCACTTGGCTGTGGATCTCAGCAGAATATGACAGGCTTCTGTGTGTGTGTGTGTGTGTGTGTGTGTGTGTGTGTGTGTGTAGTATGATTTATACTACACACATGTGCATAGTATTATTTATCCTTCTTGATGTTCTCTGATCTCACATGGTATCTAACGTTTTCTTCATAGCCTGTACTATTTCAATCATGATTATTTTAAGTTATTTTCTGATAGTTTCAATATGTTGGTCATGAATTTGCTAATGATGTTTGGTTTTTATTTTGATGGGGTGTTTTTTTTCAGTTTCTTGTTAGGGATCTGGCGTGTTGTATGTGTAGTACTGAGGTTAATATTTCTTTTGTGCTTGGAGATGAGCATGTAGGCTTTTTTCCTTCTGCTAGGCTTTTCAGTTTGTTTTTTCTCTTTCCACATTTTTATTGGTGCACGTAGTTGTACATAACATGGGATTTGCTGGTACATGTCTGTATATGCATACAATATAACAGTCTGTTAGGCTTTAAATCAGGAACTGGGTTGAGTTTGAAGTTTGTTGTTGTTATCTACATATATGATAGGCTTCAGAGTTCTCCAGTGATACATTGGGTTTTGCCAGAAGGGTTGTCTCACTTTCTGCTTCCTGCTTGAATTTGCGGTTCTCTGGCCTTAGGTTCTCAGGAACTTACAGTCTAATGGAAACTCCCTCCCAGCCAAAAAAAAAAAAACCCAAAATTATTGTATAATATGAATTCTTTAGACTCATTTAAGTGCGGGTGATCTTTGGCTGGGTAAGTTAAAGACAGTGACATTTGAAGCAGTCTTTACCAGACTACCAGACATCCATACTTGACTTGTTTCCTTTGACTTTTTTGTAGTATATGCTACTGTTATAGAGCTGGTGAACATTACTGCCATGGCAGACACGACTATTCACTCATTCTGGTCAACAGAATTTTTTGAGCAGTAAACTCCAGGTGGGCACTACCAATCAGAAGTGCCACAGGGTAAGACATTTACTTACCGTTCCCTTGCTTGGATATTCTCTAGTTATCTATCTTCCTGGTATTGGGGTCCCAGCCTTTCCTTGTCCATATTATAGCACAACTTGCGAAAACACTAGTTCTTGTTTTGAAAAGAAAGTTTTGGATCCATAAAATAAATGTTGTCACAGTGCACAGGGGTAGGATAAAGCAAAAGTTTTGGATCCCATATTAAGAAATGGGTTGGAGATTGAGAAGTTTATTTTGTTTAGGAATAGGTGGAAAATTGGAAATATTAAAGTAGAGAAAAATTATCACAGGTTCAAGAGAAACAAAAGTCCAGACTTCAAAAGCTCAGGTCACTAGAAAGAACAGAAACAAGAGGTGAGCTTTTATTTAGGTCAAAAATAATCATCCTTTTATATGGCCTAATGACATCTGCAGAATTAACATGTAAGGTTGAAATTATACCCAGTTGATGGCAACTTTGTTGAGGCATAGATTTACATCTCAGATAGGACATGTTATATAAGAGTCACTAGTCTAGCAAGTAAAGCTACCCAGAGCTCCACATCCAAATTACATCAAATGGACATACTGCCCAGTAGACAGGGGTGGCTTAGATCTTCTGGCATGTACAGTGCACTATTGAGTTGGCTGTTGCTACTGGTGTTTAGCAGTTTGTTACAGGGATCTCCTGGAAAGCCTTGGGAAATATATTCCACAATTATCTGCTTGGGGATAACAAGGGGAAATATTTGTACAAAGGTTTCCTCTTCCATCAGCCAAGGATGGCTCCTCAGATGTTAGCTTCTCTGCATTTCCAGGTTGCAGATGCCTCAGGTTATCAGCTGCCACAGCTTCAGAGAAGCCCTGAGGCAGGTAGCATGAGGTGATAGGGCAAGGCCTAAGGTGAAGCCCTGTCATGTTATAGCTGTGTGCAACTCATCAAAGTCACCAGAACAAAAAATGAGGCCAGAAACAGAAGAGATCATACTTAAAAGGTATGTCCAATACAGTTACTCTTACATGCACTCTCTTGAGTGTTATTCTCTGTAATTGTGCTCAGTGTTGGACAGAATTCCAGAGAATCTCACAGATTCAAGAGAGAATGCTCTTTTCAAGAATCATGTTCACTGCACCCAGCTCTTAATCCACATTTAGATTTAATTGAATCATGCTTCCAGGCTTGGAACATGGCTACTATAGACATAACAATATCAATGAAAAACTGTATTTCAACATACTAATACAATGAGGAATTGTCATCATTTGCCATAAGTAGATATTAGCCTGACCCATACTGATGATTCTTTCTGTGAAATTAATATTTTCTGTAAATTCAAGAAATATAACAATATTATGAAAGCATAAAATGATAAATATTAATAAATGTAGGTGCTCCATAAAGGATGGGAATGTACTTTTTACCCATGCATTTTTAGGACCTTGTAAAGTTTTAGATTTTTTTTTTCAAATTTGAGAGATCAGTTTTTTTTTTTAATTTCTTTTACTTATAGTGGAAACAACAATTTTCACATCTTTCACTGGAATGTTCTAAAATTATTATTAATCAACACATAGAGCAGAATGTGATTTTTATACTCATTTCAATCATTCCTTGTAGCCTGCCTTGGAAAGGAAACAGCTATTCTCCGCTAATAACAAATTTAACTTAAGGTTGGTAGATCCATGAGCTATGGTGACTACAGGGAAAAGATTCAGAGATGGAGCTGTTATTGACATCGTCTCTTCTTTGACAGGATTCAGATTATTGCCTCAAGCAACAGAATGTACAACTACATCAAAGACTTTGGCATCGTGGTGGAAAATGGACACCTGGTGAGAGAGACCAGCGATGCTGCCTCTAGATCACAGGCAGCTGGTGTCTGCATGGACTCCGTGGGAGCTCTCTGAAGGCCGTCACTTGACTCTTGCAAGCAGCTGAGCCAGGTTTAACAATGGCAGGTGCTTTGGACTAGGTGTGTGTCTTCTCTCAATCCATATGTTGAGATCCTACCTCCCACTGAAATGTGATGGGGCTTTGAAGTGGTGATTAGGTCATGGGATCCCTCATGAAAGGGATTTGTGCCCTTATAAAAGGGACCCCAGAGAGATCTTATTCCTTTGACCTCATGTAAAGGCTCAGTGAGAAGACACATCTGTGCAGCAGGAAGAGTCCTCAGGGACACTGAGGCTGTAGAACATTCAGCTTGGACTCCCAGGCCCCAGAACTGCAAGAAATACCTTTTGGTTGTTTACAAGCTACCCAGTCTATGGGAATTTTGTTCTCACAGCATGAGCAGCCTGAAATATCAGCTGAAGACAAAGCAGATGAAGTTTTAGTTGTTTTTTAGCTCTTCATGAGCCCCCAACTAGTTGCTCATTTCATTGTTTCCCTTGTTGTTAATTCAGATGTTCTGTCTTTTCTCCACACAAACGTATGAATTCATATTCAAAATGTGTCAGAGAGAGGAGACATTTACGATATTTAAACATTGAATGTGTTGTCATCTGAGATCACTTTCTAAGTATGCTGCAGGACAAAGGACAGTGGGAGATGGAGGAGCAGCCACTGATGAGCTGCCCAGGTGGCCAGAATTAAAAAGAGCAAGCATGGTTCAGAGGATCGTGGCATGCGTGGTGCTAGAAGAAAACCCCCAAAATGCCATGGATCCCAGTGCTAAGGACCCAGGA